CCTCTTCTTTAAAGCTATGCATTGATGCTGCCTCCACTACATCATTTTTCAGGCTTTTCCACTTCCTGACAACTCTGTGACTGGAGAAATAATTCCCATCTTCCTTGAGATTCATCTGAGTCTTCAACTTCTACCTGTGACCTTGTTTCTGTGTCCCATCTCTGGAACATCCTATGTCTGTCCACCTTATCAATTCCTCGCAGTATTTTGTATGTCGTTATCATGACTCCCCTGACACTCCTTTCGTCCAGTGTTGTCATGCCGATTTCCCTTAACCTTTCTTCGTAGGACATTCCCCTTAGCACTGGAACTAGCCTTGTTGCAAATCTTTGCACTTTCTCTAATTTCTTGACGTGCTTGACGAGGTGTGGGTTCCAAACTAGTGCTGCATACTCCAATATAGGCCTGACGTACACTGTGTACAGAGTTTTGAACACTTCCTTACTGAGGTATCGGAACGCTGTTCTCAGGTTTGTCAGGCGCCCATATGCTACAGCAATTATGGGGTTGACGTGCGCCTCAAGAGATGTGCTCGGTATTATACTCACCCCAAGATCCTATTCTTTGAATGAGGTTTGGAATCTTTGACCGCTTAGCCTATACTCCGTCTGCGGTCTACTTTGCCCTTCCCCGATCTTCATGACTTTGCATTTGGCGGGGTTAAATTCGAGGAGCCAGTTGCTGGACCAAGCTTCCAGTTTGTCCAGGTGTGTGTGTGTGTGTGTGTGTGTGTGTGTGTGTGTGTGTGTGTGTGTGTGTGTGTGTGTGTGTGTGTGTGATGTGTGTGTGTGTGTGTGTGTGTGTGTACTGTATACGCATGTAAAGTTGTTTCAACTATCGTCTCTTTCATTCTGTTTCACCACTTCTTTGTTTATGTTAACAAAAAGGCTCCTATCTCTTATACATGTGCATAACATGTTGGACATATTTTTGTGCCCAAGCTCTACATATGTACGAACAGCATTTTTTCATATGGGTGCGTAAACTTGTATGTAGCTATTTATATTCAAATACTCTTATAACAATATAAGTAAGTATATATCATATAGAATATTGTAATGGCACTCTACTGATGTGATATAACCATTTTTAATATTAATAATAATAAAATAACTCTTGAAACGAACTAGGTTCCTATATGTTCCCAGGCATATAATGACAGCATTGTAATATTTAATTATGTCTATTGTTAATACTTCTCGTTCATCTCTCCTTCCTATGTCTTCTATATATGTATCATTTTTTCCAACGCTCTGGGATGATAGAGATGTCTTCACAAAAAGTTAATTTCTTCTGTGGACTAAGCCATCCTGATAGATGACAGTTCTTTAGTAAGAGTAACTCCAGCTATGCCAGAAGAAAACTTCTGATACTCTCGTAGCTGATGAACCTTAAATGAATTATTTGACGAGAGTGTTATTGCTCTGAGAAGTCTTCCATCTCTGGCTAACAGATTTAGTCACGGAATGGACCCCATCTTGAGTGATAGAATGTCACAGAAAAGCAACTTTTATTCCCCGCCCACCCTTATTAACGTCACCCATGTACCACCCTCACACGCATCCAATCCACTCCCACGGCTCTACCCTGGCACACTTCTCACGCATTCTTCCCCTCCTCCCCTTTCCCCTTTCCTATCCAATCTTTATCTGCCAATTTGCCAATGGCAAATTGGCACCTACACAACCCAAAATCAATACAACATTAATTCCAAGACTTGGACTTGAGTTCATTCTAAGTGACTCTGATGCATGGAACATTTAAAACTAAAAGCCTTTTAGTGCCAGCGACTATCCACCTCTGTGTGAGCCCATGGTTCTCCCAGTGGCTGAAGAGAGGGAAAATGTAATCAGTCCATCAGTCGTGAAAAGACTGATGACTGATGGGGCTTATATACTGCAGATAAAATGAGCCTGTTGTAGGAGAAACGTTTCCACTGTAAAGATATCCAAGTGTTGCACATGTGTCTAATTTATCAACGTGTCCGTTCTCTGAACCATGTATCTACAGAGAGGGAAAAGCTAAAAGTGCAAGAGCGTGAAAAAGATATAGAAAACAAGAATAACTGGAAAACAGGAAAGCAAGAAGAACCAAAAATTAATTTATATGGGTAAGAACAGATGTTGAATAGGAATTTGAGAGCAAGTCTAAAAAAAGCGTAGTCATACAACCGCATTTTAAAAGAGACAAGTATGAAGGACCAGGTAATAAGACTGAATAGGAATGGGGGTAGATTACTAGGATCACCCAGAACATCTGCGAGGGGCTGAACAGGAGTATTGCATGAGAGTTAAAAAGAGAGGCTGATCCAATGAGTGCTGGACACATTTCACACAATATAAGTACCCTGAAGAAATTACTGATTGAGCAAGATACCTTCAAGATACTGGAACCAGACATCTCTCCTTGGGTTCTGAGAGAGAGAGCAGAAGAACCGCGTGAATCACTGACAGAGATCTTTAACGAGTCAATTGAAACAGGATAGCTGCCTGATATTCAGAAAACAGTAAATGTACTCCTGAAGTTTAAAAAAAATGGACAGAAAGGTTAGACTGACCTACATGAAGATCACCCGAAGAAGAGTACTGCATTATTATTATAATTAATTTAAGCACTAAACCCGAAAAGGTAATACAGTGCAGCAGGGAGGAATGTGCAAAAATAGGAATATGCAAAGTGTAGGAGTAAGGTGCATTGACGTACACAGGTAAGGGCTCGTGAAGGTAGGGTAAAGTGCAAGAGTAGAATTTAAATTAAAGTTAGTGGAATAGGTAGGTTTCTGTTAAAGAGAGTGAGTCAGAGTAAAAGGTGGGATTTTCAGAGAGGACGTCAAGTAGAGCGAGTGTGTTAAGGCGGTGGAGACGTCAAAAGTAAATTCTGTGAGACAGCTGATAAACGGGAAGATCTTTTAATTTATCGTAGATTTACAGTGTCACCTGAGAATGTACACAGAGCATTGCCAGGCATTTCTTTATGATGTATCCATGAACGAGTTGCATGTGTCTAATACGTTAACGGTGTCCGACACGACAGTAAAGGGAAAACGACCAGAAACCTAAGCATGGTTTGAAAGGAAAAAGGAAAAATTGTGGAGGAGGCAGAATTCCATACATAGTTTTAAGTGATACGATTAAGCTCTTGGAGCAGGGAGAGTGAACCTAGTGGCGATCAGTGAAGAGGCGGGACCAGGAGCTGTGAATCGACTCCTGCGGCCACAAATAGGTAAGAACACACGCGCACACACACACACATACACACACACACACACACACACACACACACACACACACACAGTCAGTAAGTGGAATAGTTTGGGAAGCGATGAAGTGGAGGCAGGATCCATACATAGCTTTAAGCAGAGGTATGATAAAGCTCACGGCTCAGGGAGAGTGACCTAGTAGCGATCAGTGAAGAGGCGGGGCCAGGAGCTCGGACTCGACCCCCGCAACCTCAACTAGGTGAGTACAACTAGGTTAGTACACACACACACACACACACACACACACACACACACACACACACGAAAACAATCCTCGAGAAGGAAAACAATGACTAAGCACTGGAATATTAGCTGCTTAATTCCATCGCCAGACTAATGCTTACTGTGATAGTTGAAAGAGACGCAGTTGGAGTTCTGACCGCAGATGACAGCACAAATGACCACGGACGTAACGCTATTGGTCTGAACGAGTTGACCAGACTTAACAAGGCGAACATTCAAACCTGTGTGAGGAAAAATAATTATCAACACATAATTAAATGTTTCGAAAAGTTCCCTGTAAAATTCATTTTATATAATATAAATATTTGATTAGGGTCTTCCAGGCAGACTTGTACTTTTAAGAATTCATTGATTACGGTTTGTGTTGCCCAATTTTCGCGCGATAACTTAACAATACCTTCAGTAACAAGACGTATCTCGGTCGCTGTGCAATCCGATAAAGGTGTATAGCTCCAGGCCCCTGTATGTCAGTGCACGCGAAAGATTAAAGTAGAGTGTGGCAAAATTTACTAATGCTGTTAATAAGTAGCGCTGAATATTTTAAGTGAAACAGATTTGATATTTATTATTTATCCCAATTTTTTTTTTCAATAAAGAGGGCAGATTTGGACATGCACATCCTTAGCCTAACTCAGTCTTCTAATTAGAAACACCAGCTTTGGAGCAAAACATAAAACATTAGAGAGAAGATTCTCTACAGAAAGCCTACTGGCCCAAGCTGGTCAGGTCCAACTCGCAAACACCCACACTCACCCATGTATTTGTCTAACCTATTTTTAAAACTACACAACGTTTTAGCTTCAATGACGTTACTCGGGAGTTTGTTCCGCTCATCCACAACTCAATTGCCAATCCAATGCTTATCAATATCCTTTATAATCTAATTTTTTTTCAACAAGAAACAATTGCTGAAAGTCCTGTCTTGGTTAGATATATTTAGCACGTTATTTACATCCTCTTTATTTATTCATGTTTTCCATTTATACAGATTCAGGGCCCTAAGTCCATCCTCGTAGGAAAGATTTCTGATACAGGGGCTTAACTTTGACACCTTTCTTTGTACGTTTTCAAGCGCATTTATATCCATTCTGTAATGAGGTGACCAGAACTGTGCAGCATAATCTAATGTGATGAATGGTTTGAAAAACCGACAAGTTGAAGATTGAGACACTTATGCAACATATACAAGATTGATGGACTGAACACATCGACTCCAGGCTGAGGGACTGATTACCTCAAACTCCTCCTCTCCTTACGCCTTTCTACTTTGTATCGGACTGATGAAGCCACTGCGTGGCGAAACGTTTCCTGAATAAAGATTCCCATATGTTGCATAAGTGTCTCAATCTTCAGCATAATCTAATAAATAGAGTTGAAAAATTACACATATGCGCAACATCTGGGTATCTTTATTAGTAGACGTATCGCCAAACAATGGCTTTATCAATACAAGGACATAATGTGAAGAATTATATACAAAAGATGAGTTAATCAGTCCCTCAACCTTGGAGTTGATGAAGAGCACCGTAGTGCTCAAAGAAGTGAAGCACAGTCATGTAGCCTGATGCTTATGTACAGGCGACAGGTGAAGAGCGTGCAGCAGACGAAGGCATTGCCATTGGTAGGCGGGATTTCCCAGTGGAAGTAGGTTATGCCCAAGGAATGAGCCAGTAGTAAGGAAGAAGGCTGTGTAGATGTCCTCTATGCCAAGATTCATGAAGTTGCAGTGTCAGACAAGTTGTACGTAAATGGTATACAGTACAGACAACATGAAGAATTAGACACATGTGCAACATCTGGGTATCTATATTTGTAGACGTTTCGCAAACAGTGGCTTTATCAATTCAATAGAAGGACATAATAGAAAACTCCTATGTATTTCTGATTTATGTACCATGTTATGATTGCCTTTAAACTTACATTAAATAGACATTTTAACGAAACAGAAGCTGGAACTGTATTTGGGCAACGCAGCTTTCTACTAACAGTATCTTGAACAAATTATTGAGGTAAAGGTCATTATTATGTATTCTAGGAAATGGAATATATAAAGTGATTATCATTATTTCTTTTTTCTTCCTAATGGGTTTCCATTCATTAATTTAGTCACGCCTCATTTAATATTGTTGAAACTTCCCGCTTTTGTGTATCTCACTTATGGGAAGAACCGGATTAATATTGGACTGTCAGCCTGCTAATTTACTAACTGCGGTGTTCAGATTGGGTTCTTGGTTTCCTTGCTGTATCTTAAGAATACCTCCTTTTAATGCCGTCAATATTTCAACGTTGGTGTATCTGACTGAGTAAGATTCATGTTGTTTAAGAACATAAGAAAGAAGGAACACTGCAGCAGGCCTACTGACCCATGCGAAGCAGGTCCATGTCAACCCGCGGCTTAGACCGATGACCCACCTAGTTGGACTATGTAGGTGCCAATTTGCCAACCCATCATAAAAGATTATTTGATATATTTTTCATGCATCAACTTAAGGATGCACTCTTTGAGGGTTTCAGACTATAAAGGCTAATGCATCTATACAGTTTTTGGTTGTATATGTGTAAATACTTCAAGTTCATAGCATACTTAAAAAATGAGGATCATTACTCACGAAATCGTAATGACACGACTGCAAACAAACCATACCACGGGTAGGATTTGAATCCGCGGTCTGGAGTTTTGAGACTCTCTGACCGCGGGTTCATATCCCGCCAGTGGTATGGTAAATGAGGATCATTTTTCTCCATGTGGTAAGTGAAGATTGTCTCTTATGATTGACTTCGAACAATCATCCTTGAAGTACATGTTTTCAAAGATGGACCCAATTTCAAAGTAGTATATTGTTTAAATTGGATCCATCTTTTTAAAACACCTTGTAATCTGCATAAGGTGAGAATTAAATTGGATCTGGGCAACATAGGTCCCAGTTTGCAAGTTTTATTAAATGATATGGGAGTTTGATTTTCGTTCTGTAACTGAAAAATCCCTCTTATGATGGGCTTCAGATTCTGAAAACCTGTGTATCGTATCACTACCTGAGTGTGTAGCCACTCACCTATGTATCACTACCTGAGTGTGTGGACACTTACCTATGTATCACTACCTGAGTGTGTGGTCACTTACCTATGTATCACTACCTGAGTGTGTGGACACTTACCTATGTATCACTACCTGAGTGTGTGGACACTTACCTATGTATCACTACCTGAGTGTGTGGACACTTACCTATGTATCACTACCTGAGTGTGTGGACACTTACCTATGTATCACTACCTGAGTGTGTAGACACTTACCTATGTATCACTACCTGAGTGTGTGGACACTTACCTATGTATCACTACCTGAGTGTGTGGACACTTACCTATGTATCACTACCTGAGTGTGTGGACACTTACCTATGTATCACTACCTGAGTGTGTGGACACTTACCTATGTATCACTACCTGAGTGTGTGGACACTTACCTATGTATCACTACCTGAGTGTGTGGACACTTACCTATGTATCACTACCTGAGTGTGTAGACACTTACATATGTATCACTATACCTGAGTGTGTGGACACTTACCTATGTATCACTACCTGAGTGTGTGGACACTTACCTATGTATCACTACCTGAGTGTGTGGACACTTACCTATGTATCACTACCTGAGTGTGTGGACACTTACCTATGTATCACTACCTGAGTGTGTAGACACTTACCTAAGTATCACTACCTGAGTGTGTGGACACTTACCTATGTATCACTACCTGAGTGTGTGGACACTTACCTATGTATCACTACCTGAGTGTGTGGACACTTACCTATGTATCACTACCTGAGTGTGTGGACACTTACCTATGTATCACTACCTGAGTGTGTGGACACTTACCTATGTATCACTACCTGAGTGTGTGGACACTTACCTATGTATCACTACCTGAGTGTGTAGACACTTACCTATGTATCACTACCTGAGTGTGTGGACACTTACCTATGTATCACTACCTGAGTGTGTGGACACTTACCTATGTATCACTACCTGAGTGTGTGGACACTTACCTATGTATCACTACCTGAGTGTGTGGACACTTACCTATGTATCACTACCTGAGTGTGTAGACACTTACCTATGTATCACTACCTGAGTGTGTGGACACTTACCTATGTATCACTACCTGAGTGTGTAGACACTTACCTATGTATCACTACCTGAGTGTGTAGACACTTACCTATGTATCACTACCTGAGTGTGTGGACACTTACCTATGTATCACTGCCTGAGTGTGTGGACACTTACCTATGTATCACTACCTGAGTGTGTAGACACTTACCTATGTATCACTGCCTGAGTGTGTGGACACTTACCTATGTATCACTACCTGAGTGTGTAGACACTTACCTATGTATCACTACCTGAGTGTGAAGACACTTTTCTATGTATCACTACCTGAGTGTGAAGACACATATCTATGTATCACTACCTGAGTGTGTAGACACCTATGCATCACTGCCAGAGTGTGTAGACACTTACCTATGTATCACTACCTGAGTGTGTAGACACTTACCTATGCATCACTACCTGAGTGTGTAGACACATACCTATGTATCATTACATGAGTGTGTAGACACTTACCTATGTATCACTACCTGAGTGTGTAGACACTTACCTATGTATCACTACCTGAGTGTGTAGACACTTTTCAATGTATCACTACATGAGTGTGTAGACACTTACCTATGTATCACTACCTGAGTGTGTAGACACTTTTCAATGTATCACTACCTGAGTGTGTAGACACCTATGCATCACTGCCAGAGTGTGTAGACACTTACCTATGTATCACTACCTGAGTGTGTAGACACTTACTATGTATCATTACATGAGTGTGTAGACACTTACCTATGTATCACTACCTGAGTGTGTAGACACTTACCTATGTATCACTACCTGAGTGTGTAGACACTTTTCAATGTATCACTACCTGAGTGTGTAGACACTTACCTATGTATCACTACCTGAGTGTGTAGACACTTTTCAATGTATCACTACCTGAGTGTGTAGACACTTACCTATGTATCACTACCTGAGTGTGTAGACACTTTTCAATGTATCACTACCTGAGTGTGTAGACACATATCTATGTATCACTACCTGAGTGTGTAGACACTTACCTATGTATCACTACCTGAGTGTGTAGACACTTACCTATGTATCACTACCTGAGTGTGTAGACACATACATAGGTATCACTACCTGAGTGTGTAGACACATACCTATGTATCACTGAGTATGTAGACACTTACCTATGTATCACTCCCTGAGTGTGTAGACACTTACCTATGTATCATTACCTGAGAGTGTAGACACTTACCTATGTATCACTACCTGAGTGTGTAGACACTTAGCTATGTATCATTACCTGAGAGTGTAGGCACTTACCTATGTATCAGTACCTGAGTGTGTAGACACTTAGCTATGTATCATTACCTGAGAGTGTAGACACTTACCTATGTATCACTACCAGAGTGTGTAGACACTTACCTATGTATCACTACCAGAGTGTGTAGACACTTTTCTATGTATCACTACGTGAGTGTGTAGACACTTACCTATGCATCATTACCTGAGAGTGTAGACACTTACCTATGTATCACTACCTGAGTGTGTAGACACTTACCTATGTATCACTACCAGAGTGTGTAGACACTTTTCAATGTGTCACTACCTGAGTGTGCAGACACTTACCTATGCATCACTACCTGAGTGTGTAGTCACTTTTCTATGTATCACTACCTGAGTGTGTAGACACTTACCTATGTATCACTACCTGAGTGTGTAGACACCTATGTATCACTACCTGAGTGTGTAGACACTTACCTACGTATCACTACCTGAGTGTCTAGACACTTACCTACGTATCACTACCTGAGTGTGTAGACACTTACCTATGTATCACTACCTGAGTGTGTAGACACTTACCTATGTATCACTACCTGAGTGTGTAGACACTTTTCAATGTATCACTACCTGAGTGTGTAGACACTTACCTATGTATCACTACCTGAGTGTGTAGACACTTTTCAATTTATCACTACCTGAGTGTGTAGACACATATCTATGTATCACTACCTGAGTGTGTAGACACCTATGCATCACTGCCAGAGTGTGTAGACACTTACCTATGTATCACTACCTGAGTGTGTAGACACTTACCTATGTATCACTACCTGAGTGTGTAGACACATACATAGGTATCACTACCTGAGTGTGTAGACACATACCTATGTATCACTGAGTATGTAGACACTTACCTATGTATCACTCCCTGAGTGTGTAGACACTTACCTATGTATCATTACCTGAGAGTGTAGACACTTACCTATGTATCACTACCTGAGTGTGTAGACACTTAGCTATGTATCATTACCTGAGAGTGTAGGCACTTACCTATGTATCAGTACCTGAGTGTGTAGACACTTAGCTATGTATCATTACCTGAGAGTGTAGACACTTACCTATGTATCACTACCAAAGGTGTGTAGACACTTACCTATGTATCACTACCAGAGTGTGTAGACACTTTTCTATGTATCACTACGTGAGTGTGTAGACACTTACCTATGCATCATTACCTGAGAGTGTAGACACTTACCTATGTATCACTACCTGAGTGTGTAGACACTTACCTATGTATCATTACCAGAGTGTGTAGACACTTTTCAATGTGTCACTACCTGAGTGTGCAGACACTTACCTATGCATCACTACCTGAGTGTGTAGTCACTTTTCTATGTATCACTACCTGAGTGTGTAGACACTTACCTATGTATCACTACCTGAGTGTGTAGACACCTATGTATCACTACCTGAGTGTGTAGACACTTACCTACGTATCACTACCTGAGTGTGTAGACACTTACCTACGTATCACTACCTGAGTGTGTTGACACTTACCTATGTATCACTACCTGAGTGTGTAGACACTTACCTATGTATCACTACCTGAGTGTGTAGACACTTACCTAGTTTGACCCACCTATTAGATTTTGGAAATACACACATGGCCTGGCTGTGAGAGTAAATTTTGTCTCGCTGTTAGTTAACTGAAGCTCGAACCTCCATCACTCTTTACACTAAATGCTTAATACGTGTCTGTACCTTACATTTAGTTTAATAATAATAATAATAATAATAATAATAATAATAATAATAATAATAATAATAATAATAATAACAAGGATGATGACAATAAAAATTATAAAAATAATAGTAATGTGACTCAGATACTTTATCAAAGGCAATATGTAACATTATTTAATCAGAACAGTCTTCAGAGAATAAATATATGTTAGCTTCTAAAATAACAAACAACTTACCTGTTCTGTTCCAGCTAACCTGGTCCCCATTAGTGGTCTGGATTAGCAAAACCATCAAAACAATGGCCAGGAATGCCATAAAAGTAGGTAGCCACATGAGTGTCGTGTAGCGAAACCCAGGAGCGTGATGGCAGCAACGTGAGAAAGAGAGAGAGGCGTGGGAAGTTGAGGAGGTGTGGCGGTGAAGTGACCCGACCAGCGCGCCTCACACTAGCTGAAGGTTAGGACAAATCCCACGCTGGTGGGAGGTAAAGATCGATGTTTATAAATGCGGAATTGAAGAGGCGGAGAGAAGAGGGACAAATGTGTTGTGACAAACAAACTAAAAGTAACACTATGGAAGTTCCATTCTTTGGGAAGAAAGGTAATTCTAACATCTAAAAAACTGAATATTGTTGCACATTACAAAGTTAAAGAGGTAATCTTGATAAGTATTAGAGTATAGACACAATATGCACAACAAGCTATTGTTGGTACTAGGTTTCACTACAACTTGACCTTGAGCGAAACAATCCCAATAGAAGATTACTGGGCAATTTCTCTGTGTAGCCATTTGCTGTATAGTCCTTGTGGCTTAGCGCTTCTTTTGATTATAATAATAATAATAATGTGTAGCCATTTGTCCCTAATGAGCCTAATATATTTTTTATACACTTATCAATAAGTATAAATAATTGAAATACTACAAGAGTATATATTATCACTTAGATCATATACACAAATCTCTATTTAATCCACTAAATAGGGAATTGCTCCTATAAAAGCAGTTTGAGAAACCTGACATACAATGAAGGGAGATGTAACTCAGTAAACAAGTGTAAACTTAATCGGCATCTGCACGATCTGGAAAAGATATCCCCCATTACACATAAGTCTCATTGCAATTGAATATCAGCGCTGAGTATTTGAAGACAATTAGAAGAGGCATTCCCTAGATTTTATTTAAAAACTAATATAATTTCTCCAATAAAAAAAAATGACAAATTAGCACTTACAGTGAAAAAAAATCAGTGTGTACCTTCTACTCTGATTACGGCCGATCAAAAGAAGAAACAATCTCTAGTTATTGCACAGAAATATACCCAGAAATAAATTTTAAGCTTGAAGCTTCTCACAGCTTACATTCTCAAGGTGTCAGCATTGAAGTTTAGAAGTTAATCAGATGAGGCATTCACAAATTATCACATTTTCACCAATACTTCTTTCAAACTCATTGTAAATCTTTACCTAAGTACAATACAGGTAAACTGAAGAGGTAATCTCCAATTATTGGATGGTAAGTGATTTGTTTAATTGAATTGATAAATTCAAATGTACATAACCAAAAATCAATTAAAGTCATCACTTGACAGAAACCCACCAATGCTAAAACATTCAAAATGATCAGGAGAGAGATTATCGAGTTATCACATAAAAGGTAAAAATTTCAAGTTATTAACTGTGTTAGTAACCTGGCAAACTTGCACTACACAGTATAAACCAGAAAAGTGTCAGTGTTTTAAAGAGATGCGTCGCCTACATAAATCACGGAACAGGAGGGATTTGAACCCATGTCAAGTAAGTCCTAAAACTCTTAGGCATGTGCCTAAATAAACGGAAGTCATTCAGGAAAGGCAATAAAAATAAGTTAATGAAGCAAAGCTAATCAAAAAGCACCATGAAATTAATTCCTCAACCTGAGGAAGAATCACGCCAGTATATAGGTTCTTGTGACAATAGTTCAGAGTTCCTCAGCAAGGTGACTGGTCTCTGTATTACAACGAGGATATATATATATATATATATATATATATATATATATATATATATATATATATATATATATATATAATATATATATATCTTTCTTTCTTTCAACACACCGGCCGTATCCCACCGAGGCGGGGTGGCCCAAAAGGAAAAACGAAAGTTTCTCCTTTTACATTTAGTAATATATACAGGAGAAGAGGTTACTAGCCCCTTGCTCCCGGCATTTTAGTCGCCTCTTACAACACGCATGGCTTACGGAGGAAGAATTCTGTTCCACTTCCCCATGGAGATAAGAGGAAATAAACAAGAATAAGAACTAGAAAGAAAATAGAAGAAAACCCAGAGGGGTGTGTATATATGTGCTTGTACATGTATGTGTAGTGTGACCTAAGTGTAAATAGAAGTAGCAAGACGTACCTGAAATCTTGCATGTTCATGAGACAGAAAAAAGGACACCAGCAATCCTACCATCATGTAAAACAATTACAGGCTTTCGTTTTACACTCACTTGGCAGGACGGTAGTACCTCCCTGGGCGGTTGCTGTCTACCAACCTACTGCCTAATATATATATATATATATATATATATATATATATATATAATATATATATATATATATATATATATATATATATATATATATATATATATATATATATATATATATATATATATATTCAAAGTATCATGTTGAACCACAGGAAGGCCATAGATAGGTTCATTATAAATTGACTCTTGAAAATATATGGTTCACTAAGAGGTGGAAATACATATATTACGATCGTCCCTACACCTCAGGGATGATAACGAGTATCTCCGTCATAGAATCGGCCAAGATCTCACGTTACACAGTACGCACCCAGTGCAAAAAAAAAAAATCCTGTTTCTTCCTCGCACTCTCTTCCTAGAACAGTGAGCTACGAACTGAGGGCTGAGAAATAACATGGGGTTCAGTAAATGTATTTCGATCTCTGGGTGATCCGAGAACGGTAACGCCTGTATTAGCGTTCAAGATTTGTGGCTAATCAGGTTTGGTACTCACACGTCAAATATCCACATTTGTACTCACACGCAAATAACCACATTGATTCAGTAAAATACAAATTTGAACAACTCTAAATTAATTAACGCTTCCACTAAGAAACATCATTTTGGAAGCCAGACTAAAGATAAATTCTCTTGTTACCTTAAAAGGAACTTATATTCTAAAACACACTGGCACGCTGAATTTGAAACCAGTCTGAATATAAATTATCAACCAACCAGCTTTTTAAAAATAAGGTAATTAGATGAATCACTCAGGAATTATAGGATGAAAAACAATATTTCAGTATCGTCAGTATCTTCCATAAAAATGATAAATTTGGACCAACACTGGCCAAAATAAATCCAAAATTTTCTGTTAGTAAGATTTAAGAGAGTTTAAGGCTGAAATAGAGTACTATTTATGCAAGTAAGTAATTAAGGAAGATTTATTAATAAACATTACATAGGTTTAACGTAGGATAACCCAATAAAATCAAATACTCTGATTTATGTCCAGTCAGAAGAGACATCCTCCGGTTATTTCACAGAAACCAATTTGATTAACGCAACCGGTATATTAAAACTAATACTCTAAAATCAATGCAAAGCTTCTATTGACGAGAACTCATTAGGACTAAATGTTCCAAACCGAGCAGTAGAAGCATTTTCCTGTTATTGTACAAAATCAATCGTACAGCGTCTGTGGAATGTGATACATGGAGGTTGGATTCATGCAAGGCGATGATCAGTACAGTTTCATTGACCAAGAACCCCTCGCCAGCATCAAGGGGAAAATAATTCGATACTGAAATATAATACTAAACAATTTCGAAATTAAGAGTGGCAAAATAGCACCTACATATTCACTTAACATTAACAGTCCATGAAATCAAGTAGGAGTAAGCAGAGAGACTGTGGCGTGACCAAGAATCAAACAAATACCTTAGTTATCGACAAAAGCAAGGAACGAAACACCTGATGCCTTAGTCCAGTACACTACCATACTGATGAATAAGACTCATGTGCAACAGTTTGATGTATCATTATTGTTGAAATGTTTCGCCTATACGATAGGCTTCTTCAGTCAAATACAGCAGGTGTAGTGAAATAAAGACTATTTAATCAGTCCATCAACCCTGAAGAAATAGTATTTGAGGTTGTTAGTCCTGAAGACGAGTTCAGCTCCATTTTCTGGAAAGACATGAAGCTGAAGCATGAGAATGGAGTATTAAATATTGTCGAAGGTGAGGTGGATGATCTCGAAGATGCTGCTGGAAACGATGTTCACCAGTAGAAGCAAAAAAGCAGGTCCCTCTGGAATCCAGCCCTTTTTACCCACAGCTGGTAGTTACCCGATGAAGTGTGGAAGTCCTCGGTACCAAGATACCATTGTGTTGCAGTATCATTTTCAACATAAACTATCATGCCTCCACTTCGGTCGGCCGCACTAATTGTATTTGGCAATTTCTTGATATGTTTATTTGTGGGTTTTATAATTCAGTCCCTAAGCAAACTTGTGCAAGCAAGCTTCCTTATACTCAGGCCCAAGTTATACACCATTCAGCATTCCAAAATTTTGACTATGGGTCAGCACCCATCTGAGGAGAAAGTATTTTGTTGAGTGGCACATCATTTTAAGCTCTTTAAGTGCGAACATCAAAAACATACAATACGGCTGGAATAAATGGCTAATAAACAGATAAGTTGATAAATAAGATACATGCGCAACTTTTGGATATCTATATTCCGGGAATGCTTCGCCAGCCAGTGGCTTCTTTAGTCCAAACCAGAAAGCGGTGGAAGATAAGGGAATTAAACAGTCCCTCAGCCTAGTGTCGATGTGTTCAGCCCATCAATCTTGATAAAAGTGCAGCATATTTTCATAAATAGGGCTTATGTACCGCAGGCAGATAAGGTGGTAGGTGAAGTCACAAGAAGAAAAACCCACTGGTGGACCGAACACTTCGACTCCAAGCTGAGAGACTGATTACGTCAAACTCCTCATCTTCCACCGTTTTCTGTTTTCGACTGATGAAGCCACTGGCTGGTGAAACGTTACCAGAATAAAGATACCCAGACTCTGCAAAAGTGTCTCATTTATCATCATATACTACGGTGCTCCAAAATTTGAATTTAGAAGCGGCGCTCCCTGGAGCATTTTAATTAATTTTCGCAAAGTTGAATGACACATCATTTTCAAATTATTTTTTATACTGATTTCAAAGACATATTTCCAAACATAACCCAATCAATTTTAATACAAATATTCAGAGCAGTTTTAATCAGTCTTATCATCTCTTTGAATCAAGCAATATGATTCACACACCTGCCTCATGTCAAGGTATATGCTGAGGCATGTCACCTACACCCGCCTCCTGACATGGCTGGTACAGGGCCATGAATACCCGTACCTGCCTCCTACACCCTCCTGTAAGGGTGTGAGTCCCTAACACCTTCCTCGTGGCAAGGTGAATGTGGGGTTAGATTCCCCCATAATGTTGTCATATAATGTGTAAGGTACGCTGTTAGCGGCATTGTTATGGTTAGGAAAACTTGTGTGTACGGCATTTACGGGGAGGGGGGTCAGGATGATGGACGTTTAGAGGTGAATTGTATAAAACGAACCAATGTTTTGTAAGATGATTAGGTTAGAAGGATCATTGCACCTCGTGTCTTATACTGTGAGAAATATAATGCAAGGTATGAATGTAGTCCGCATATAAGGATACATGTTTGATGGTATTTAAATTATGTATTAATGTTTTGGAATTTAATTTTTGTCGTAACGTTATAAGTATTGTACTATGCTCTTACATGCTGTTTCATTATGTATGGTTTAGGGACACACTAGATGGCGTACTTTATATGGTGTATTATGTTTATGTGTTCTATTTTGTATACCTGTTTAATACAGGATGGGTTTTTTTATATATTTATTATGTTGTAATATGAAGTTATAAATAAAATATAAAAAAAATGGTGTCTTTATAAAGCAGATGTAAGGGAAAGAAGACTTTTAAATCCATCAGAAGAAATGCATATGTAAGAATCGTTTTTTATTAATCTTTGTACATTTGTTATTTACAAGAAACGACATTTGCCTGAGCATTGCCGAGAAATTCTTCCGGTATACTGGTATATATTACAATATAAACTATATAATACTGTATAATATTACAGGCAGTTTGAAACTGCTCAGATATAAACCCTGGAATTTAAACTTTTTTGTGTGTCGTGATATTGTACTTTAAAATGATACTAAAGAACTCTGCGCACAATGTTTTTAACAATTGTTTGAAACTATTTCCGATAATAATTTTTTCGTAAATTTTTGTTTTATGTTTCCTTAACTTTATTCCATAATGTATCGGTTTAAACATGCAATTTAAGTCTGTGCAATAATATATTTAAAATTAGGGGGCTAAAAACAACCAATTCGTGATATGTGGCAACATTTATCAGAAGCATTTAATGATATTTCGAACTTCAGTATAATCAATCATCGTGGTTTATTAGCATTAAAACTTTCAGTTTCCAACACCTTTTATTATACAGTTTGTGCATTTCATTTGATTTAACTGTAACTAAATCTTCATTTTCAATTTCAGTACAATGTGTAACATTTTATCTTAAAACTAAGATCTTTCCCAACATGTAAATTTTGATTCCTTAGATAATGAATAAAGGTTCTTCTTACACATAACTGCTGTTGCCGGTAACTGACCTTTGATCCAAGGAACTGGAATTATCCAGAAACTAGCATATATCTATGGACTCCCTGTAAATCACGAACCTGGCGTTCCCCTTCAACCATCATGTCTGGGACATGAAGTGTCCCTTACCATTTGACAAGTGTCGTAGAC